TGAAACTTTCCCTAATTAATATTGACTTAAGAGAAATATTTTTTTTTTAATAGGAAATAATTTATCTGGCCAATTTTAATTAGGGCTCTAAAAGGCGCATCTAGGTGCCGTCGGCAGAAACGCCAAGTCAAGTAGCTTGTCACCTTATTTAACGGTCAACGAACCTTATTTGGCGCTCAACGATAGTCGTTGACCGCTAATGTGAGCTTAATCACGCTCATGCATTTTTATTTTTTATTTTTAAAAAAAATTACAATTCTTATAAGTTAAAACTTAAAGTCGGGCATTTGAAACTTATCTTTTTATTGGAAATTTTTGAAAAATGTATAAAATTCTTATAAATCTGTTTTAGATGTTTGATATGTATTATTTTTAATTATTAAATAATTTTTTAGTAATTAAAATTAAAATAATATTAAAATAAGAAAACATATTTTTATGCACATGTCTCGTCTAAGTTTGCCTAATCCATAGCTTGACCTCCAGGTATCATCACGCATTACGTCTTTTAGAACACTAGTTTTAATTAAAGATGAAAGTGACTCCATACTTGAACAGTGTGGATTGATATAAACTTTTCAACAGCATGTTTTTATGTAAACATTATTTTTCCAAATTTAAATTTTATTTTGTAAGATATAAATAAATAAGGAAAGAGCAAAGGATGGCCACCAATATACAATTATAAGTGAGGTTTTGTCAACATTGAGAGCTTGTTTGGGAGAGGTTTTTGGGGGAAGAATTGATTTTGAATAGTGATATGATGGGAAATGTGTGGTTGAAAAAGAAGAAAAAATTATTGATTCGATGGAAAATATTATTTTATTAAAGAATGTGTGGTTGAAAATGAGAATTGATTTACTGTAAAAAAATCAAAATCTCTTCCAAACAGGGCCTGAATTTGTAGCCAAGAGATTAAGGCCATACCAACGCAGTATAAGGTGTTGGTAAAGGGACAATGGAATCTTTGATGAATGCATTTATTTGATTTGATTTTAGGACTACTCTTAGTCCTTAATATTTCAGCAATTCTATTTGTACAGCAAGGGTTGATCGAAGAGGTTGACAACCTCTCACAGTGGTGGACCCCATTGTAATTAAAAAAAGAAAAAAAATTACCCACCCACCCCTTGTGTGAGAAGTTGTCAACAAAACCTCCCCCTCCCCCGTACAAGTAGCACATTTGAATGATTTGTGATACTTTTAATTAACGCAAATTTTGGAAGTTTGTTTTATCGGACAAAGTTATTTTTTCGTGAAACTAAGTAAATGATATTTGAGACTATTGACTAATGTTGGTTGATCGAACTTGCCTTGAAATGACTCGTCAAGTAATTGACTTATACTCAACAAAATCGATAGATCAAGCATAGTGTTCGAAATGTCTAACTAATTAATTATGAGAAAAATTAAGTCACATATGGTCGACACCAAAGTAAAAATAAAAAAACAAGGTTTTTATCTTATTTATAAAAATGTTAGTAATTCATATCTACGAAAAATATAAAATAGCTAAAACCTACAGGAGGTTGTTCAAAAAGTTATTTTTACATCCATCCAAACCTACAAAGATATTTCATTAAATAAAAAGTCGATTCAGCGTCTCCTAGCACGTCATAGTTATGTCAAAATAGATCCGAACCCTTGACCCAAGATCATATCCTAATTGATTTATTGAATAACTAAAGAAAAATAGACAAAACATGAAATTATATGAGCATGTTTGGCATAGAAAAAAAAAGGGTTAACTTATAAGTTAAAAATAAGTATTTTACTAGTAAAGTCAAAATTATTTTACAACATCCAAAACCAATGAGAAGTGCCATTAAAATATCACCAATACCACCTTTGATGTAAAAACACGTGGCGATCCATCAATATCTAAGCAACATTGCCGGCCCCTCTTGTTCCTAACGTAAAATAATAAAATACATACAAATAAATAAAGCATAATACAGTAATGTTTACAATATGAATTATAGTCATAGGAATTTAAATCATTAGTTTGTTGAGGTAAAGGGAATGGAGGGACGGCTGGCTGGTTGGCTTGAAGTAGACCTGTTTAACCATTCTTGGAGGTGGGGTAGGGGGACTTGCTGGTTAGAAAGGGACTATTGGTTGCTTCACCTCCTATCTTCCTGTTCCTTCTTATCTCTCTCACTCACTCTTTCTTTCTTCTTCTTCTGCTGTTCCGCATAAACAGTTCTACGCATACAAACTGATTATACATATAGATAGATAGAGAG